TTGCGTTCATTGGGGATTATTGTGGTATTAGTGGTTAGCGGTGGGGGGTTTGTGTGGTAGCGGTGTTATGGTGGAGAGAGGAAAAAATATATAAAACTAAACATATCTTTTAAAATATTATTCATGAAGCCAAAAGAATGAACAAATGATAACAAGCTCTAATGTATCAAACACAATGAAAAATGGGATGAAACCAATTGAACAAGAACTAGAAATTAAAAAAAAAGTCTTAAAAAAAATAAAACAAAAACTATTTTGGTCATTTATTTATTATCGATTTCCTATTTACTTATTATTATTTTTCTACGGTTCATCACATAAACCCAAAACGAAAAAAAAAAAACGTAATAATCGAACGCACGAGCGAAGAAAACGGCCCAACATCAACACTGACCTGCAAGGGAGTTGTGCGCGTGTGAGGGGAGACCCGTGTAATCCTGCTCTCCTTCCCAGATCTGATTACTCTCCTCCTCCTGTTCCTCGGCTATGTTTCTCCTCACTCTTCGAAGTTGAGGATCGGTGCCAGTCTGTCTCTTTGACCTTCCGGCTCTCGAACTGGCTCCGGGAGGGAGGGCACGGCGCTGCCTCTGCGGGTACGAGGAGAGTTTTTGGAATGTGCATTTTTTTTTGGAGGTGGAGGGAGAGAGGGGGATGGTTCTCTCTCTCTCTCTCTCTCTCTCTCTCCGTTTATGTGTGCGAGTGTGTGTTCAATCCACCCACCAGTTTACCCAAAACATATGACAAATCGATCGTCCCGCTTTAGGCTACCTTACCTTCGTCACCGGATTGTCGTACTCGTGGGAGATCATCTGGTCGAGCTCCTCCTTGGACTGACGGCGGTGCCTGACGGAGGAATACACCAGAAGGAGCGGTTCAATGTCTGTGTGGGGCACCGTGGCCACGTCGAGGTCGCCACCGTCGCCCACGGTCGAGAACACGGACTCAATCAAGATCTACGGGCAAGAGGTAATCGTTAGAATGGCTTCGTGTTATAGTTCGAGTGGGGAGTTTTAAGTGTGACTAAACCAAGAGAAAAACTTCCTCTTATTATACCTATGTCTTGAAAAAAAAAAACGATGAAAAAAACAAGAGAAAAACTACTTTATATTAAACCTATGCCTTGAAAAAAAAAACGACAAAAAAGCCAAGAGAAAGATTACTTAATATAAACCAATGGATTTAAAGGCTAAA